CATGCGCGCCTCCACTCAGTACACCATCGATTCCTTAATTCCCAACTGTCATGGACCATGGACGAGTCGGTGTACAGGATGATCGGCCCCAAGCAGTTCTTGAGGGCGATGACCGCTGCCTGCAGCTCCCCAGCTCCACTGTCGTGATGATGGTGATGATGATGATGGTGATGATGATGATGGTGGTGTTGATGGTGATGATGGTGATGATGATGATGATGGTGATGATGATGAGGAGGATGCTGATGAGGATGATGATGATGAGGATGATGATGAGGATGATGATGAGGATAAGGTTCATCCGTCGGCCCCCTTGGGAGCCACCAGGCTGCGAGGCTTCGTCTTCTGCACCCTGCAACAGCTCCAGTGCGCCAGTGTCAGAAGTTGTATTAAATGTTATAGGTTGCTCGCTCCAAGCTTGGAAGGCTGAGGAACGCACGACCCCCACCCCCTCCTGGCCAGAAAGGGATGCTCTACCACATCGAAAATGGGTTCCCCTAGCTCTGGGATGCCCCGGGGCACATGAAATTACAACACATTCGCGCTCTCAGATCCACATTCCCTTCTATGTACAACGCGGTCGCGATCCAGAGGCCACAATTCCTCCTGAATTGCGACGCGCGCGTGCTTTCGAGACAACCATTTCTTGTAAACTAAACGCCCACGCTCCCGGCAACACATTCTCTCGTACGTTACGTCGTGTCGTAGCCATAATTCCTTTTAAAGTACGTCACGTTATCACGATAGATGCGCGCTCCTGGGGCCACAATCCTCCGAAATCGGACATCCCACCAGCCCTCTAAGCGTAGGTGGTTTAACGAATTGTGGTTTCTCTCCTCCTCCTCCTCCTCCTCCTCCTCCTCCTACTCCTTCCCCTTCTCGGGGAGGTGATTACTCCGGAAATGGAACAAACTACAATCAACTAGAACCAATTCTCACCACCATAATACAGATTGCAACCCCGTTGGTACGAATTCCAACCGTTCGAGGCGAAATTCAAACCACTTTGTATGAGAAGCCACACAGGCGTTTTCGAAGCTTCTTACTGGCGTCTTCCCGCCGTCTTACTGCGTCGCGCGGGCGTTTCAAAAGCGTCGTGCGGGCGTGTTCAAGGCGTCGTGCGGGCGTCTTCAAGGAGCCGTGCGGGCGTCTTGAAGGCGTCGTGCGGGCGTCTCCGAAGCGTGCGGGCGTCTTTAGGAAGCTCTCAGAACCCTCCCCTCGGAGAAGCTCCCAGAGGCTTCTGAGAAGCCTCCAGAGGCTCCAGAGAAGCCTCCAGAGGCTTCTGAAAAGCTCCCAAAGGCTTCTGACCAGCTCCTCTCGAGGCTTCTGAGGAGCTCCAAGAGGCTTCTGAGAAGCCCCCAGAGGCTGTCGAAGAAGCCCCCAGAAGCTTTTTTTCCCCCAGACGTTTCTGAGATGCCCCCAGAGGCTTCGCAGTAGCCTCCAGGAGCTTCTGAGAAGCCGCCAGGGACTTCTGAGAAGCCCCCAGAGGCCTCCGAGAAGCTCCCAGAGGACCCAGATTGGTTCGGATGGATTCTAAAGGATTCTGAAAGACGAGAAAGGGAAGGAGGAGGAGTGGCGGTCTGGGGGGGAGGCCGACCATGACGACGCCGATGAACGTGAGGGGTGTGACGCCGAGGAAGTGGAGGGAGGAAAAGGAAGAGGCAGGGAGGAGAGGAGGAGGAAGTAGAGGAAGAGGGAGGGACAGGAAGGAGGGGAGGAGGAGGGGGAGGAGGAGGGAGGGAGGAGAGGAGGAGGGACCTTGGAGAGCGACGGGCGGGCCCCTGGCCGCCCACGAAGCCTCGGGAGGAGAAGGCGGCGCACGCAGCAAAGTGTCAGTCGAAGGGGTGGGCTCCGCCTCCTCCCCTTCCCCCTATCGTCTGGCGGAGAAGGATGGGGAGGAGGAGGGAGAGAAGGAGGAAGAGGACGGCGTGCCTACGACGTATGAGTTGGTTGATGATGATGATGAGGAGGAGGAGGAGGAGGAGGACGACGACGACGACAATGACGATGACGATGACGATGACGATGACGATGACGATGACGATGGTGATGACGATGATGATGATGATGATGATGATGATGATGATGATGATGATGATGATGATGATGATGATGATGATGATGATGATGACGATGACGACGATGATGATGATGATGACGATGACGATGACGATGACGATGACGATGACGATGACGATGACGATGACGATGATGATGCTGATGATGCTGATGATGATGATGCCGATGCTGATGATGATGATGATGCTGATGATGATGAATCTGTCCCACCGCACAGTCCACCAAAACATCACAAGCCACGCTGAATCCCCCCCGAGCTCGCTGCACTCTGACTGCGGCCTGTCAGCTTGCTGACTGTCCGCGGCGCCGTCGGTCAGCTCGAGGAGAAGCCAAAAGCAACGTCGTAAAACTCCCGTGACCCAGACATCTCCCCCCCCCCCTGGCGGCTGTGGCCCGTTGGCGCCTCACGGGCACCCGCAGGCCAACACCACACAGCATGCACCACAGAGCAGAAACACACTGCTTGGGATCGACGCTGGCAGGCTGGGAATGGCACTGAACAAAACTTGCGGCACCTTTGGCACTCGTTGAAGCGCAAGGCCGCTCCCGGGTCGGCACGCACAACCGCAACGGCCGCAAGCACCGAAGGGGCTATTTATAGAGACGCCGGGCTAGTCGCACGCGCCGGCAGAATCAGATTCAGTCGAGTCCTCTCTACCTCCATTTCACCCCATCGTGGCCATCCTACATCACCTGACCTTGCACTGGCTGGCCGACCAAGGGCTGGGCGTCCTGGAGGGGCTGGCCTGTACTCAGCAGGCAGCAACACTCGACGGTGACGCCCATAGCTTTGTCGAGCTCCCGCGCCTCCTGTGCGATGACGCAGCTGGTGCAGAACCCGAACAGGAGGACGTCGACGAAGATGTTCGGCCCCACATCCTCGCGCCCGCAGAGCTTCGCCCGCAGCGTGCGGCGATACTTCTGGAGGAAGAGACCCACAATGAGTATCGAGACTGTGTAACCGACCAAAATGGCTAGCTGCTGGAGTTTCATGCACGTGTCTAGGGAGTAGTTTTGGGGGTAACCTGCGAATATAGACATGACAATCAGGACTTCGACAATAATGCCAACGATGTCGCCGACTACGATGGCCAATATGAAGTACAAGACCACGCCCCAGTACTCTTCGATGCCAGCTCCTTTGTAGGTGTCCGCGGCGCGGCACACTGGGCAGCACAGCGCATGCAGACAGGTGGACATGTGCTCGAGGCAGCCGAAGAACTGGCGTGTCTCGAAGTCGTCCGTCTGCGCGCACGGAGCCAGCCCGTCCTGGAGGGGCGGCCTATTGTCGGTCACGTTCATCTTGTACCGGCAAGCGAAGACCCACGGTACAGTCAAACTGGCGACCATAAGCGGCACCCAAATCATGAATAACATCATCCCGTAGATATACAGGTAGTAGAAAACCTCAAACGCCCTACCCTCGTCATATGCATATGGGTCGACCGACTTGTAGGGGGCGTTGTGGTCGTCGTAGCTGTTGTAGCCAGGGTGGTAATAAGACAAACGCCTCGACATCACCGCGTCTGGAGCCAAGCTCGAGGGCACCAGCACCGCGGGCAGCCCGACGCCCGAAGCCGATGGCCACGGCACCACGAGGTCGAGGCTCACCAGTGCCAGGGGCACAAGCAACACAAGCGGAAGCATTGCGCAACGGCAAGCGACAGCTTGCTGGCTGCAGGTGCAAGGGCTGTGTCGGCAGCATTGCTTTCGCACAGGATTGACGACTGCAGATGGTGGACTCCCCTTGATCCGAAATGGCTACGGATGGCGGCGATGGTGATGATGCTGATGATGGTGACTCACGTCCCCAGGGGCAATAATGCTAGCTTCAGGAATGAATGCGCAGACATAAGCAGATCATTTGATTTTGGGATATCCCAACATCGCCACAAATTAGGAATCATACAGTGAGGTACTTCGGGTGGTTGGAATTCGTACCAGTTTGACTTTCGATCCGGTTGGAAAATGTACCAATCGGTCGGGATCAGTCCCAGTCGGTTTAAATTAGTACCTCAGGCGGTTTATCACTGTTCCTTATTAATATACACCCCCTCCCCCACCCGGCTGGCGGCCAACCCTGAACCATGCCGACCCCATGAGGGCCCGCCCCCCACCATCCTTGTCAAAACACTATACAAACCGCACTCTGCCTCCACACTTGGAGCATACCCGATGCGGCCCCCCCCCCACCATCCTTGCCAAAAAACAATGCAAAGTACACTTTGGGGCAAAGTCTTGAGTCAAGTTCGTGAGGTCCGCGAGCACTTTGTATTGTTTTTGACAAGGACGGCGGGGTTGTCAGTATGTTTCCCTGCTGTGCGCAGGGCTACCATCCCTGACAAAAAATCATACAACATGCACACCGCGGTTAAATCTGGATCATGCGCGGCCATCCCGCGATCACTGTCATGTCGTTTTTCCCAATTTTTCGTGGGGTTCTGGTTTTCTTCCTTGCCGCGTCGCACCCGCGTCTCACTCACCTCCCCTCCTCCTCCTTCCTCCCTCACCCCCGCGCAACACATGCACGGCATGCACATGAGACACGCGTGCACTCGTACATACAGCCCCTCGCATGCACACACTCGCACACACACACGCACACACACCATACAGCGCCAGTGCACGCCTGGCGTGTGCACTGCATCACACACCCAAGACGTATGCACATCATACTTGGCACCCACATGAGGCGCACGTCTGCATCCAGCCTGGCACCCAGTACAGCAAATATGGCTTTAAAAATGATCGAATCCTATGAACCAAAAGGTGTATGGTTAGAGCCTGTTATTAATACACCTCTGTCCATTCTACATTGGCCCAGTGACACTGCGAAGCAGACGTGAATAGTTTTTCCAACATGCATCAGGCGAGCACTGCAAAACATTCCTTCCGAAGCTTGCATATCAATTGCAAAAAACGCTGAGGAAAATGCAAAGGCCTTTGCACAACTGCACCTCGAGGGAGGGTGAAACAGGGAGGGAGACTTGAGCGAAATGGTTACAGACCAACAAGCGGGCCTCACCGAATTGAGAGATATAACAATCAAAGATTATAAACACCTCTGTCCATTCTACATTGGCCCAGTGACACTGCGAAGCAGACGTGAATAGTTTTTCCAACATGCATCAGGCGAGCACTGCAAAACATTCCTTCCGAAGCTTGCATATCAATTGCAAAAAACGCTGAGGAAAATGCAAAGGCCTTTGCACAACTGCACCCATACCGACATTGATTACTGGAGGGCCTCCTGAAAGCACTGAAAAATGGAGGCCTCCGCTGCTGCAGCTCGTCTTGCGAGCTCTGGCGGGAGGCGAGCAGCCTGAAGCAAGAGGCGGCCGCTCTTCTCATATCGTTTCACAGACTTGGGATGAGCCCACCTGCCACGCTTCTGCACCATGCTCAGGCTGCGAGCGCCAGTCAAAACATCATGGGAAGGCGCCGAGTGGCGTGCAACGTGCGGCGTCAGATGGCCAGTCTTGCCTAAGACCGACCGGCTGTACTCTCTGAAAAGAGCCTCATACTTGGCCAAGGACAGGTTCGGGAACACCAGGTCCTCTGGGCGCGAGCTCGACGAGCGCCGCCGGGCCCACATCTCGAGGACAGAGCCGACCCAGTCTCGGCCCGGCGAGTTGAGCACCACGGTGTCGTCGCACTCGCCTGTCTTGGTGGTCTCACCAAGGTCTGAGTTGCCGATAACAACGGCCCAGCGGCCTCGGGCCAGACGCGACGATGATGACGAAGGGCGAACCACCGAGCACCACCGTAGGTCGCAGATCTCTGAGGGTCTCAGGTAGGCGTCCAGCTGGATGGCTAAGGCTACTGCGGCTTCGATGTGCTTGTCCTTCATAAAGACTGTCATGAACAGGAAGAAAACTGACAGCGGCCACGGGTGGCGAGACGAGCCAGGAAATCTTCGGGTCCAGCCTTTCATAGCCTCCCTGGCCATCACGAGGCGAGCAGACTTGGCGATGTCAGAGCGCGGGAAGAAAGTCAGGTAGCCCCAGAGAGCGTAGCGGCCCTCAGCTGGGTGTCTGGCATCACTCATCAGCTTGTCAAAATACTTGCACATTAATTGGTCAATCTTGGACTCGGGTGCCTCCCTCAGGTCCTCATCACCACGCGTGGCCCAGTCGAAGAAGTCACGAACTGCGGCGCCATACCGCTCCAAGGAGGCCGCGGTGATGGAACCAAAACGGGCCACGCCTCCATCAGCAGGGACAGGGGCGCGGGGCCCGAACTTGAACGTGTGACCCTTGATGGACTCCACGAACTTAGAGGCGCGGCAGCGACGGCCAGCGACCTTTCGGGCCTCTCTTGGCGCGGGCCGCCTGCTTCCGGGCTGCCTCGAGGTTGGAGTCCTGACCAAAGACGATGAACGGCCGGAGGTGGTCGTACCGGCTCTCGAGGGCGTCTGGGTCGGCGGCTGCAGAGAGCCCGAGGTCAGGCTCCGCTTGGAGCCGCTGCCGAGCCGGCCTGAGGCGCTCTCGGGCACGCGAAGCTGGCCGCTGCGAAGCATCCCGGAGCTGCGCCTCCAGGTCTCCGCCGTCAGCAGCGTCCAGGTCGCCGCGGGCGCCAGCAGGCGCGGTCAGAGCGGCCGCCTGAGCCCATGCCTTGCAGAGCCCGCGGGGGTAGGCTCCCGCTCCAGCGGTCCGATTGCGTCTGATTCGAGCTCCAGATGGCAACGTAACTGTCTCGAAACCCCTGAGCTCCACGTGCGCGTGATCTCTGGAGCACTCTGAGCTCAGGGACGACAAGGCGAAGAAATTCGTGAGGATCTGAGTCCGCTTCAAGTGCGGGGCCCCATAGCTGCAGTGCACGAGAAAAATCTGAATCACGTCAGGAAGGTTGGTGAGCTCTCGAACGGGGTCAAAGTCCCAGAGCCTCGAGGTCCTCGGGTTCTCAATACTCCAGAAAACTCCATGTCTTGAACACTCGTAGGCAACACGACAGCTGAATAAAGCTAGAGCAACACCAATACGTTCCTTGTGTCGGGCTCTCTCGAGGTTGACCATACCGTGGCGAGCCCTAGACCAAACACAGCAGGGGGTACCCATATGTACATACCAGAACAGCCCTTTCCGAATACCCTGTAAGATAACGAGCTGCACCATAGGATCTAGGAGGTCATAGTGGGCCCCGTCCTTGATGTCCATGCCGGGGAAGGTCTTCAGGCCGAGCTCCTTGAAGGCCTCCGAGAGCCCGCCCTCGCCCGAGAACAATTCCAGGAAGCCCTGGCCTCGCTGGGCCCGCCTCAGAAGTTGAGCATGCCCAAGACGCAGAGGGGGTGCGGCGGCTTGACTGGTCACCGAAGGTGTTGTAGTGGAAGACGGGCAAGAAGACCGATGAATTGTTCCAGCGTGCGGCCCGCAACCCTGCACTTCTGGCTGCGTGTCACACTCGGCGCCGGCGGACGGATGCCCTGCGAGGCCGAGACCAGGAGGCAGCGAGCCCACTCCCACTACAGTGCTCAAGGGAGAGGGAGAAGTAGAAATTGTTGAGGCTTCGTCGTGAATATGTTTATGATGACCTTTGTCGGGAGAGGAGTGTTCAGACCGACGCGAAGGGGCGTCGGCCACATTGTACTTCGTGTTGACATATCGAAGTCTCCATCGCACCCTACACCCTATCGTGTAGGCCGCCGCGCGCCGGCACTGTGCGTTCAGAGCTGCTGAGCGGCTAGACCGCCCTTTCTCCAGGCAGCCAACACAAACCATGGAGTCGACGATAGAAACCAAGCGGCGTCCGCAGTTGCTGCGGACGCGACAGGCATGGCGAAGGCCCATCACAGCAGCACGGGTCTCCTTCACATTGATGTGTTCGCTCGGCCAGCGCCACCTCTTCGCCGCCACCAGGCGGAAGCCCTCGGGTTCGCACCACGCGGCCGGGAGCGGTGGCGCAAGAGGTCCGGCCTGCGGTGGCGGGACCTCCAGATCGCCCTCACGCCAAGAGGCGTGGCACTCCCGGCGGCGGCGGCGCGGCTGGTGGGCCCCCGCCGACGGCGAGCCTTCCTCCGCCCGGCGCTGCAGCCACTGGCCGAAGGCGGTCGCGGGCGCCGTGCCGCTGCAGGGCGAGGAAGACTGACAGCGAGGCTCGATCTCATAGTCCAGGGACCGGTCGATCACGTCGCCGTACCCCCCCATGTCGGCAACATCAGTCGGAGGCACAAGACCCACGCGCGGCCCTCGGAGGTGCTGCTTGAAGCTCCACTTCTCCTTCCAGCGGAAGGCCGAGCGCAGGTCGCCGAGCGAGGCCCTCTTGTACATGAGCCCGTACCCGTGGTCGGCGGAGTCGCTGGCGTACACGTGCGGCACGTAGGGCGCTGCCAGGTCGACCTCCGCGAGCCAGACCAGCCCGACCACGATGCGCATCTCCTGTCTGACCTCGCTAGGCAAGACAGTCCGCGTGCCCCAGGCCTCCTCCGCGAACCGGTAGACGGCGGACAGCGCGGCGTAGCCTGGACGGGCCAGCATCAGCAGGGAGACCGCGTGGCCCAACCAGACCTCCATGTGTTCACCTCGCATCTTACCCCGGGCCAGCAGCGCCCGGGTGGCCAGGTCGAACCTCCAGACTCGGGAGGCCTTGTTGCGTAGGCGCCCTTGCTTCAGATCAAGCTCGATCCCCACCGTCTCCAGATGGGTGACGACGTCGGGGTACGACCAAGTGATGGGGAGACCACAGCGCTCCGCCTCGTCTCGAAGGGCGGCACTGGCCTCACGGGCCACAGCGGCAGTCTTACCCAAGACGGTGATGTTGTCAACGTAGACGCTGCCCATGACCCCGGACTCGTTGAGGTCAGGCGCTGGGAGGTGCTCCCTCACCATGGC